CCCCCCCCAAAAAGAGTGAGTCGATGCTTTTATAACCCCTAATGCATCAAAGATCAGCTTCTCTGTCCACCTACCACTGGTGAAAAGAACATTGTGTGACTGGCATTAATTACGGACCCGGGCGTAACAAACAGTGCCCGCGGTGAACCGCCGCCCCGCTCTCACGGTACGCTTCCTGCCGGCTTTTTCTGTTCCCGGGAAATCGACTTCAAGCAGATTACCGTAAATTGCTTGCAGACCGCGGGCGCACGTTTCTCAGGGTCGCGCGAACCGGCAGGTGCTCCGAGGTTCGGCTCTGGCCGCGAGCCCACCGCGCCGTGACCGGAGAGGACATGCACAGGGGCCCATTAAGTGGGCAGCACTCTTGCTCCTTCCAGAATGACCATTTCGACCCCGACCTGAGCCCTGGTAACAGTATGGCCGGTCTATATCGACCATGACCGCAGTGTGACCATTCTCTATTGGCCCTTATGGTCTATATCGACCTTGACCGCAGTGTGACCGTTCCCTATTAGTCCTTACGGTCTATATCGACCTTGACCGCAGTGTGAACGTTCCCTATTGGCCCTTACGGTCTATATCGACCTTGACCGCAGTGTGACCCAGGCTGCCCACACCCTGGCTCCAAATCCCCAGACCAATCTGCCACCCTCCCCCCACCCCATTAACACTCCTTCACCCCAAATTAAGCCCCGTTGCGTCCGTGACTCTCTGGCACCGTGGAAAATGTTGTGGTCCCGGACTTTAATCAGCTTTGCCGTCCAGGTGCACTGACAGGGGCAAACGCGCCATTCAGCTCAAGCAGTGTGATGCCCCCCCCAAAAAGGTGACGTCCCCACTAATCCCCTGGCATGCTCAGCACTCTCAGGAGTCACCGCAGTGTGTAGAACTCCATCAGAGCAGCAGGAGAGCTGGGCCAGTAAACACCACACCCCTGCCCCCCCCCCCCCCCCCCCCCCCCCCCCCCCCCCAAACCCCCACCACCCTGAAACTAGCAAGAATGAGGATTTTCAGGTCTTATGCAGGTAGCTGACCCCCCCACGCACACACGCACCCCCAATGACTTCCATAGCACAATAAATCACTGAAAAATACACATAGCACACACTTTAAATCTTCCTTCCAGGTGTGTGTGTGTGTGTGTGTGTGTGTCAGAGAGAGAGAGAGAGGTGAAAAGCGAGGGAGAGGGCGGAAGAAAGAAAGGCAGCAGAATCAGATACGCGGCAGGGGCCCGATAAGAGATGCAGGCGGAGATAAGTGCTGCATCTGATGGGGGCGGAAAGAGTGTGGTTTTAAACGGAGGCAGGGGGGCGGCAGGTGAGGTGGCGCAGAAAGATGGAGGAGAGAGAGAACAGAGGGAGGGAGAGAAGATATAAGTAATGAGCCTGAGAGAGGAGGGAAACTTCCGCCTGTAGTTTGTTTACATGGTTGGGGGGAGGGGCTGTCCCTCTGCCAGCTGCCCCGCACCCTCGCCCCGGTCTGTGTGTGGCCGCGTTAAGGCCCACGCTCCAGTTGCACACGTGTGTGACGGAGAGGAACAGCCCCGCATGCTAGATCGCATATTGGGTCCCATCCAGCCGCCTCGAGGGTGAAATCCTCACATTTTCCGTCGCCGGCAGATCAAGCCAGTGAGCCGCAACCTAATGCCCGTCTGACGCGGTGACCAGACGCCGCGCGGAGGCATGTCACCAAGTGGCTGCGGCCCCACCCCGGCAAAACCGCGTATGGCCCCAGAGAGAACCTTCCCACTAAATCTACTGCACAGCCCTTTAGTGGCGATACTGCGCGATAATCCACCAGTCCCATTTGCTGAGCATTGTGGGTAATGGGGCCGCAATGTGCATCACACCCCACCCACTAGGTGCCCGGCAGGCAAGTCGAGAGCTACAGAAAGGGTGGAGCCTCTAGATGTTTTAATGCTACAACAGTGCCTAGGAAAAACGTCTAACTGGCTAACACATGTCCTGTCAAGTGGTGTGGGCGTCTCATTGGCTGTGCATGGGCCCAGGCAGCTCATTGGCTGTGCATGGGCCCAGGCAGCTCATTGGCTAACACATGTCTATTTGGACACAGAGTCTCAGTTTACTTCATCTCAATTTAACATTGTATGTTTGGAAATTTTTCCAGGCAGACAAATGAACTGGGTATGCAGATTATGAATTATTCATAAACACAGAAACTAATGCCCAACTGCACAAGAGACTGTCCGAGCCTGCCTACTCAAAACTGTATGTTGCTTTGGATAAAAGCATTTGATAAACAATTAAAATGTCTATGTGCTGCCACATACGGCCATTAGCTTGGAGTTGCGTGAAGGTGTCATTGTTTTAAAAAATAATCAGTGACTACACTCACCTACAGAGTTCAGATTAACATCCAGCACAGCGACCGCATCAATCGATCGCCAGTCAGGTGAGAGAGAGAGAGGGAGAGGTCAGCGACCTCACAAGAGTCAGAGTATAAACAAACCTCAATGTATTTAAAGGTCAGAACTAATCAGACTGTTTGACTGGGGAAAAGCAATAGATGCTAATACAGCCCCTAAACCTGTCCCTCCCTCCATCTCGCAGGTCTCCATCTCGAAGCATGAGCGCCACAGGGCTGCGTCCAGCTGCACACGCCTGTCTAGACATGGCCCGGGTTCAGCCAGAGGTCAGCTGATCAATGCTCACATGAGTCAGACGCAGAGCCAGTGCGGTTTACCTCGGCGAGTAGGACCTGCTCATCAGGAGAGCCGTCCTTCTGCGGGACGCGGCTCTCGCCAAGATCCTGGGCCAATATCTAGCAGATCATAGCATCCTTTAACCTGAAGATCGGCCTAATGGACACTCTGCCAGATACACACACATGCACGCGCACACGCTATAACCTTCTGCCAGCTCTGCAGTCGAGCCTGATGCCGGTGCCCGCTGGAGGGTGAGGGTGCGTGAGACTGGAGCCCAGCCAGGGAAAATCCCTACAATTCCCACAGATCATCAGTACTTTGTGGAAAAAAAAAACAAATAGAGACATGAACGAGGCACTTAATTGCTTCCGAACGAGCTGTAGCTCGCATATCAATCTGTGTCAGTCTTTCCATGTGCCAGGGAATCTCCCCCACCCCCTCCCTCCGTGCTGCACAGGACAGGCATCCGCCAAGGCTGCCGTCACCAGGGCCTCGTGGAGTCCAATGTGAGCAGATGCTGGCCCATGTGAGGCCCCCCGAGAAGGCTGTCTTGGCGGGTGCCTGTCTGAAAAGCATCCTCCTTTGTGGGACCTGCAATGTTATGTTATTCGTGAACGATTGTGGCACATTACCAGACCGGACCAGGCCGGTTCAGGTAGGCCGCCCCGCTAACCTTTAACAGTTAAAAAGCTGCCATTTAGCAGCAGCTGGATCTGAATTTAAGGATGACTGCAGGGCGCGACGCCGGATCGGGATCCTCACGGCTCACTGCCTCATTGAACAGCTGTCTTCTCCATTTCGGGCGGCATGATGAAAGAAATAGGAGGAGGCAGAGACACCAGGGGGCGACGTGGGACCGAAGGACACCGAATACATAAGCAGCGGGTTTGCTACATCTGTCAGGCTCGTCAGGGCTGCCGGGGGGGGGGTTACCTGTGCCATCACGGCCACCGCCTTGATGGCTCCTCAGTTCCTCGGATCGGTAGAAGTCGATGCTGGCGTAGGTGTTGAGGTTTGCCGGCCCGTTGCTGCTGCCTCCGCCCCCTCCCACTGCTCCCCCCGCTGCCACGCTCAGGCCGGATGAGTAGAGGCGGGGGGGCAGGGGCTGGCCGGAGCCAGACCCATCCAGAGCAGGGTGCGAGTTCTCCTTATTGGCCAAGTCCAGGTCTATGTAGTTCAAGCCTTGCTCCCCAGATGACGCTTGACTGCCCCCAGGGGGCGTGGCGATGCTGACAACACTACACTGAGCGGGGCCCTCGGCACCCCGCAGCGCGGCCTCCAGGCCGAACCGCCGTGTCGCTGGATGAGCATGCTCGTGGAAGAGAGAAGATGAGGAGGAAGAGGAAGAAGAGGAGGAGGGGGGTGGGGGGGGTGGCAGGAAGGTCTCGGAGCAGTGGCGCCTTCGGCCTTGCGGGTCGGCACGGATCACCTTGGCCCCCTGATCCGGGTTGCTGCCCACTTTGGGCAAAGAGAAGTCGAGCCCCAGGCCCAAACTGCGCTCGGCGGGTTCAGGGATGGCAGGGGAAGGGGCGCGGGCTGTGGTACCGGAACCCGGTTCGGTGTCGGCAGGTGCGCTCGATCCGAAGAACATCTCCGTGTAATCTGTGAAGGCGCTGGGCGGCTCAGGGCCAGTGGCGCCCTCTGTCTGCGGCGTCCTATGCGGCCCACTGGGCCCCCCCTCGCTGTCCTCCTCTGGGGCAGGGGGCCGGCATTCATCCATCACCTTTGGGGCTACAACTGGGGGAGCAGGAGGGGTCGGGTAGGGGAGGAAGCCATGTGGGGTAAGAGACACAGGGGAGGGGGAGGGGGAGGGGGAGGGACCAAGCTCCATGTTGACATACTCGGAGGCGGCCGGGGGGGCGGTGGCAGGGCTCTGGGGGGTGGCCTGGAAGCCCGCCAGGCAGGAGATGGGTCGCTGTGAGCCCCGGGGGGCCCCACATGGGAGTGGTGGCCCAACGCCCAACCTCCCTCCCCCGACCCGCTCTGCCCTGAATTCAATGCTGACATACTCCCCCGGGCTGCGGGGCTCCACGGAACAGGGACTCTCTCGCACCCGCGGCAAGGTACTGGCTTTGGACACGTCCACGAAAAGGCTGACGGGCCGACCCCGGTGCTGCAGGCCCTGCTTCTGACCCCCGGATGCCCGTCTCTGCTGGAGGGCCCCCTCTTTGGAGCGGGTGCCAGGCTGGGAGCCCCCCCTGTCCTCCGGCTCTCCCAGGCTCTCACTGCTGGCCGAGCTGGATGAGTATGAGGAGGAGGAGAGGGAAAGGTGGCGGGCAGTGGCAGGGGGCCCCCCCGCAGCCCCGTGCTCCTGCGGCCCGGGGCAGCCGCCCCCCCTGCCAGCACACGGCTTCCTGCCACGCCCGGCGTCCTCCTCCGACTTTGCCGCCGGCGTGTGCTTGTAAGAGCGCGGCAGAGAGTAATACGAGTACACCATCTTGGGAGGGGGCTGCTGCTGGTGCTCCTGGGCTGGCGGGGGGGTGCTGATAGGCGACATGTTCATGTAGTCGCTGCCTGGCCGGCTGTCAGCGCTGCCGCCGCCCATCCAGGCCCCTCCCATCCCGCCGCGGCCGTCCGGCGAGCAGCTGCTGTGCGGCGACATCACCATGTAGCCATCGGAGCCAGCGAGGGGGGGCCGGATGCGCTGCGGGGGGGATACGCTGCCGCTGGGTGTCATGGCCATGTAGTCGTCGGCGGGTTTGGAGTCCGGGTCCGAGGCAGCTGCCGACAGCGAGCTGGACAGGGAGGCGGGTGAAGCCGCAGTCACACCGGGCAGCATGGACATGTAGCCATTGTCCACGCCCACGCCCCCCCTCGCGTCCTCCTTCTCTTTCTGCTCCCCGGCGACATCCAGGTAGCCGCTGCCGCCCGCCCCCCCGCTGGCCGAGTCCCGGCGTGAGCTGAAGGACTCGCGGCTGGCACTGCGGGACATCATGGCATAGTCCTCGTCGGCCTCGGCCTCGCTGGCCGCCCCCCGCCGTGAGCCGCCGCGCTCCAGCGCCATGGGGGGCAGTGAGGCCCGCTTGCTGAGCGCCCGCCGCTCTGTCTCACTCTCGCGGCTGGAGGAGCGCCGCAACACGCGGCGTCCCTGGCCCCATGGGGCCCCCCGCTGGCCCATCAGGATGTAGTTGGAGGCTTCGTCACCCAGGCTCCCCACGGAGCCTCCGGCCAGCTCCGCGTGCTCGCCGGGGCTCGAGCCGTACTCGTCTGACGAGCCGTAGTCGCTGGGGGAGCCGGAGACAGATGCGGAGTTGGGGGCGCGCGCAAAGCCAGCCGCCTGCACCCCCCCGGCTCCGACCGCCAGCCCAAATTCAGACCCGTGACCCGTGCTGGAGGAGAGGCTGGGTCCTGCCGAAGGCGTGGGTGTTGAGATGGACCGCATCAGGCCTGCCGGGTTCTTGCTGGGGGTGGCGGAGCGAGCCGATTTGGACCTGAGGATGGGAGTCCCCGAGCAGGACCCATTGGGGCTGGACCCGGGCCCCAGGGCCAGGGCGCCCTCCTCCGCCTTCCCGCCTCCGTCGCTGGCTGTACGCAGTCGGATGAAGCCATGCCGGGCCGTGGGGGAGGCATTGGCACCACCGCCCCCCCCTGCCGGGCCCGGAGGCTCAGTCCGCGGCCGGCGGGTGAAGCCCACCTGGCTGGGAGGCGGGTTTGGGTGGTGCCGGCGAGATGGGACGCTGATGGGGTTGGATGCGGTGCCGCCACCCCCTCCAGATGCGGCGGCCGACTGCGACTTGCTGCGCTGCCGGAACTCCTCGCTCAGGGCCTTCATGGCCTCCAGCAGCGTCTCGTGCATGTTCTGCGCCACCACCGAGTCATCCACCTGCATCCAGAACTCGCCGGGGCCCGTCATGGCCGAGCGGCCCACCTCCACGAAGAAGAAGTTCTCCGAGTGTCCACAGCGCCGCACGTTCATCAGCTGCAGCACCACGGCGGCGGCATCAGAGTTCAGCTTCACGAAGCTCACCGTCTTCTCCGTTAGGCACAGCCGATAGACGCCCACCAGGTTTTTCGCCTGACCCAGGCCTTTGGGCCAAACCTTCACCTGCCACACCTCCTTGAAGGCAGGGCCTGGTGATGGGACCCCATAGTCCCCCCCGCTGCCACTGTCTCCAGGGGCCTTGCCTGGTGGGAGAAAAAAGATGCCGAGATTAGCCTTGTCGCCAAATCGTAACGCCACATCCGACACGGCAAAACATGGAAACGATGAGTAAGCGTGAAAGTCGAGACTGCGGGTCATCAGCGTGAAGCGAACCAGGTTGACCCCCCCCCTCCCCGCCCCACCCCCATCCCCACGCTGACACCTGCATGTTTGAACCTGGTGACCCAATCGCTATCACCGCGCACCTGCGCGAAAGAAAAGGTGGGGGCTGGACAGGATGAAGAGTGACGACCTGAAACCAGCAGGGAAAAGGTCAGAGCGTCGAGTCACCGGCCAGCGCTGCCGTGAGAATGTCCCTGTGCACCTGCCGCCACAGCCCATGGTGCCCCCGTTACATAAAACGCAACATTCAGGCCGAAGTGAGGCCCAGAAACGCCCAGGAAATAAGACGAGGGCTCAGCCTGGATACTTTGGAGACCGTGAGGTGGTGCCAGAACAAAGTCCGGGGCCCAAGCAGACTCTTGTGCAACCCAACTCTCGCACCAAGGCTGCCCTGGTGGGGGAAGCTCAGTGAGTACACAAACGGACACAGTGTGAAAACGTGCGCCGCACAGGGCAGCTAGCCGCCGCTATGCTTGGGCGTTATGATGGAACTACAGTACACACCGGTATTTAGAAAAACAAAAATACAGACGCTCCTCATCCTATGAATCTGATAGGGAGATGCTGTATTGAGGCGTTACACTGTACATCACAATGTTAGCAGTGATTGGAGGGTTTGTTAAGCAAAAAAAAAAAGAAAAAAAGTCAAAGAATAACACATGCATGGGCTAACGCTACAAGAACAAGTGGGATACGTGAACCCAAGCACACATGTGACCGCAGATCGGGCAGCGACAGTGTCAATAACCAAAGGATGATCTTTTTAACTCTAAAATGGAGCCGTCTCCTCTTTCCCTAGCACACAGCTCTCAAACTGCTGAGCCCGTTTACCTCTGATTCTGGAGTTTACGGCAGCCTACAATATATATGTTTTTTTTTTTTTTTAAATACCGTGCTGTATACCGTTGTGAAATGTCTGGAAGGTATGACGGTATGAAAAATGAGGTCCTGCCCAAGCCTAGCCGCCATGCACTCCCTCCCTGGCCCCCGGCCCTCTCCCCCAAACAGGGGCATGCCGAATTCCACAAGAGGACCAGCCAAGCAGCCCGGAGCTCACAGCTCTGTCCTGACATCGTTCTCTGAAATCCCCTCCCAGATCTGGCAGTGAAAACTGCGCTTATGGACTGCGAAAGCGGCACTTTGCGCGCGTCCTACTTCACAGCCGAACCGGGAGCTATTTTGGGCCATAAAATAGGTCCAACATGGAGGCTCCCCTGCCGCAGTCGAGCAGCTCCCCTCTACCCCTAGGGGGCACCAGGTGTCACGTGTGGCACGTTTCTGTCAGGAGGAACCGCAGTACGGCATCAGCAAGGGGCCAAGTTTGAACCCAGTACAAAACCCATGTTCAGAAGTGCAGAGATTCGTCATGCTGCTTATATACCAGGTACCACCAGGTACCACCAGGTACCAGCAGGTATCTGCAGAAACTGGAGCAAAGTGCAGGAACGCTTCAGATTCAGCTCATCATGTCCAGAAATGTCACATTAAAATAATGTTTGTTTTTCACAAAAAAGGGATATTTCTTACTTTATTTGCCACCCTATGCTTTGTCGTTGTTTCTTTGAAAAACTGCACAGAAATTATCCCTTGAAATGCGACGGATGGATCAAAATTGTCAGTGTTTTCACCCTCGCTTTTCTCACAGAAGCCTACAAGAAAAAAACCATCAGATCAGAGGACACCCCAACAGCCGTATTGCAAAAACCGTTAATTCTGTGTCTTTATTTGATATAAAAATAAAATATCGACTTATTAAAAGTGGGCCAAGTTTTACTTGCTGGTGCTGACTATTACGGCTCGCGGATTCAGCGCGGTGGGGGGGAGGGGGCCTCTGGGCACGGCCTCCGCGCTCCACCGGTGGAGAGCAGCCCGTTAATTAAAGAATCAGACCCTTGGACCCAGCCTCACAGGAAGCGTGTCGCCACAACCTCAGCCCCCCCCCCCAGTCGCGGTCTCTTTGATGTCACAGCAACACAATCCCCCCCGTCTTGGTAATACCCCCGACCCCCCCCCCCCCCCCGGTACACCACCGCAGTAAGCTGACGCTATCAGGTGACCCAGCTCCGTCGATATCAAGCCCCCCCCCCACCGCTAAGTTACTGTGCCCTCACACCAAACAGCCACCATCATGACAGCAAAAGTGCTGATAACAGCCAGAGGCCAAAACACCCTGATGACCAGTCTGGATTTACCAGTTAAAGACCAGTTTAGACAGAAGCGGGTTTGAACTCTTACACCCCGGCAGGATAATTACATGCCTCCATCAGCTTACGTCTGTGTTCCGTCCCGGAAGCGAGGACGTCAGTCATTCTGAATGGTCTCTCGATCATTATATGGAAGAGGTCAGACATACTGTATATAATAAAGTACAACAACACTCACATTTTACTTAACCTCCATAATGGCAGCACAATCAGTTTGTTTTGGTTTTTGCCACATGCTGCACACGTGGAAAATGCGTCTGTTGACGTCCACTATCCACTATGCCTGCTTTTGGATCGTAAGTGCGATCGGATGTCATTCAGTAGAGCGTAAGTCGATGGCTGTACATCACCTGAAGCCCAGTGTCCCCTACAGGTGCCACTGTGAGACTTCAGGGAATATCCTCAAGTCCAGGGTTGTGGGTTCGAAACCGGACCCATATTCCAAAGTGGAATTTCCCCCAATTACTGTGTTACAGTCACCATCTAACACCCTTAACGAGCAACACCACCTCCCTCATGGATCATCGCCACATTATTACTATATTGTAAACCTGTTTAATTTCATGCACGACCCAGCCTTGCCATCCCAAAGTGCCAAACACAGGACATATCACCACTACAGGCAGACAGTGAGGATGAATAATTCACACAAAAACATAGATTTGCTGTGAACTGGGTTTGAGAAACACCCATAAACAGAGGAGTGGAACACAAACAGCGAAGGCCTAGTGGGGCCCCCAGGGTGCCCCTCCCCCTCCATGCGTCACTTTCCCGTGACGATGTTGTTGTGGCTGATGAGCGATGACCGTCTTCCCAAGCTCCCCCCCCAGCCAGCCTTCGAGCGGCAGTGACGCTTGGTGGCCGCTGTCGTCCAGGTGCCCATTGAAGAGGCCCAGCGATGCAGCACGGTCTCTGCGCTCGAGAGGAACCGACGGCACGAGTGAAAATCGGCCTCGGGTGGGGGGGAGCCGCTCCACTGGGCCAAAGTGTGCTCCTCCAGTGTGTACTCCAGAACACAGTCTTCGTACTTCACCCCCAGGCCCATGCAGGCCTACCCCTAACCCCCTGGCCCACCCCATCCCCGCCCTGCTGCACACACAGCACCGAAGAGACGATTACCGGCCTCTTAAATTCTCTTTCACCCATTTTCCTACCACTGGGGGACAAAAGGGGGGTACAGACAGAGAGAAATAACAGCTGTGAGTGTGTGAGTGCATGACTGTGGGTGAGAGACCGCCACCTCCCCCCCACCACCCCACGCCTGCAAAAACATACCTTAGTGTGCCTGTTTGTCTCCCACCTGCTTTGACAGACAAGGGCGATAAAAAAATACATGCATTGCAGTCTTGGG